TTTTTTTTTTTGGTATCAGGGATCGAACTCGGGTCCTTGCGCTTGCACAGCAGGCGGCGAAACCACTGAGCTAAATCCCCAGCCCAACTTAATCTGTTTTATAGGGATTAGAAAAGGCAATTTTAAGATTATACTTGAAACAACACACATATTTTCATACAGCATGTGAAAATGTTTTTAAATATATATACTATTCACTTTCCATAAATAAAACTGAGTTATCTGATAAGTCTGATATGTTAGTATTTGTAAATGACTTGACTTTTCTAGTAGAATCATGCCATGAAATTTTAAGATGCTAATATTTTTCTAATCTATATTGTATTTTTAACAGCTTACTTATAATTAATACCAAAGGAAAACTTTTGTAATATGAATGACACAATGGAAAACACGTCTGGTTAGTTTTAAAAATATTGGTGTTCGTCTTTGTGTGATGGTTCATTATATGATTTTGACTAAGCCATTTAACTTAATTAAACCTCAGTTTCTTCCCTGGAAACATGAGGAGGCTGAGTAGAACGACTCAAAATTCTATCTAGACTTAAACATCTGACCTTTATAAAAATTCTGCCCTATGCTAAATTTTTAAAAAATAGCTTTTTAAGTTCCTACTCCTAGACAGAGTTTATAAATTATTTTTGCTCTTGATCCATATAAAATGTGTCTTTGTTCTATTAGACACAAAATCTCTCTACTGTGCTAATCAAGACTCGTCAGGCTGGTTCTGCTTGGATCATCAGTGACTTCTTTCTTCACTTCAGTGCAGCCTACAGAGTCACCAATGGAGCTGAGAGAACTACTGCACTGCACACGTCCATCTCCACAGGGCTCTTCCTCGCCAGTCAGCAATGTATCCGTAAGTTCCCTTCTCTTTTCTCCCTAAAGCAACTTGTTTACAGGGGCATAAACTCCATCAAGGAATGTGTAGACCTCCAATTTATGTATCTACTGTTTAATATAGAAAAATATTTTTGAGATTTTACACAACATTATGTGAAGAAATAGTCTTGAATTCTTTCCATATTAGTACTTCCTCTCCTCTTCTGTCCCATCCATCCCTGTATTTTCTCAAAGGGGCTTTATAGTATGTGAAGGTACAGTACATGGTGTTGTGGCAGCTGCCTTTTAGTTTCAAGGAGAATAGAATGTGTTTTTAACTTGGACTTTATCTGATAAAGTATTTTTATTTCAGAAGGTATTTATGAGAAAAATATACATCTGAAACCATGCAAATCAAAATTATATTTATTTCTGTAAGAAAATAGTTTAAAATGTAAAAATCATATATATTTTGAAAAAAATAAGAAAAATTTCAAGAGAATTGTACAACTAAATTATCATAGTCAGATTTTAAAAATAAACCCAGTCAGATTCCAAACCACAAACAACTTCTCTGTTGTTCTCTTTAAAAGTTAGAAACTAACTACTAGCAGGGTTTTAGTGTATTAATTTGTACTCAGAATAATTTTATTTTCACATTGTAATTTATCTTCTCTGACATATTGACATATCATTTTTAATGAATTTATAATCCAAGAAGAAAAGTGTTTGAAAAATATAAAACTTCTAATGGAATCTGTAGTCTTCCTCTAGGAGGGGAAAATAGGTTCTGTCACTGACAGAAGTTTGACATGTTTTTCAAGAGATTTAATACTCTTCCATGATATTACAAATTAAGTCAGATTTCTCCAGGCTCCCTTCCATTTGTAAATGCTTCTGTATAATCCATAATGGTTTTGTGTCCTACTTTCTTTCCCCTCATTATCTTTAAGACTATTACTGCAGAAAACAATCCTTCAAGAAAACTTGCACCAAGCTCAGTTTAGTACATAAATATATTCAAGGCCTTGCCTATGTTAGATTTGAGTGAGTCTATATTTAATGTAAAATCTATACATATTTAGATAGATGAAGGTGAAATAAATATTCAAATGAAACAAAATATACAATTTTAATTTTTTCTTAAGAACTTTCTTTCGAAGTGTATCCCATGTACCCCACACTAGAGTCAATGAGTCCTTATTAAAAGTAGAGATGTTCAGGTGCCATCCCAGAAATTCCAGTGAATCTCTGGATGAGGCCCAGAAATCTTATATAAAACATCCATACAAGGTAATTCTTATTCATTCTTAAGTTTGGAAAGAGCTGATATGGTGTAGATATAAAAAACAAAGGAACGAGTAAGGTTGAAAGAAAAGCAGGAATTAAATAACTCCAGTTTTTAAAGGAAGTCACCTTTTGTTTTATTTAAATTTGCATAATTATATATTAATGGGGGGTTCTCTCTCCTTAGTCACCTTTCCCTCCAGGGAAGAGAAGTATTTATGCAACATAATGGTGATTAAGGAAGTGAGGGTATTCCAAAGGTACAGAAACTGAAGGAAGGACACATATTATTTTGGTGGTTTGTGTCAAAGAGGGAGGCTGGTCCTAAATTTCTTAAAAAATGTTTTAGCTTACAAAAAAAATCTCCATGTAAAACTGATGTGGCGGTGCCATTCCCTGAAATGAGTCTAGAGTGACATATGGACATATGCATTGAGGAATAGGCCAAGAGTTGCTGCATAGTTGTGCTACACATATTTAACACATACTCATTTCTCTTTCAACTGTAATCTGTCCTTATCCACATAACAACTCTGAGTGAGTTCTCATTGTGTTGTGAGTCCTGTGTGAACTCACATCATGTAGTATTTTATAAAGGCTATTTTATTGAATTTTGGTAATGCTTTCAGAAGTATTTATCATTATCACTCCTTTTAAAGAAATAAAGCGATTATAGTTCAGATTATCTGAGTTTACTAAGTGCTGGTACCAAATCTGAACCAGGTTTATGTGGTTTTAAAATCTAAATTCTTCTCCCTTTTCCTCATTTTCTACTCTGTGTGGGAGCTAACAGTGGTGTCTTTGGAATTTTTACACTATAAAAGAGAAATAGACAACATAAACACATACGTACATTGAGAAAATGTGAATATATAGGCAAATAAATAGAATATGGAGATTGATATGAAATTGTGCACATATATGCTGGTTGGAGAAAAAGCAGGTGTACAATTTTACTTTTATGTGTGGGCTTTCAAAACGTTTTAAAGGATGCACTGATTGCCTAACAATTTGCTTAAAAGTATCTTTGTATTTAAATAAGTTACGTGTGTGACCTAACTTCTGCACTATGTCAAAAGTAATCAGTGACTGATGGAGCAGTTCAATTACATCATCCCTGTTTTCTAAAAAGAGATTACAACATTTGCTACATTGAGAAAACTGAGTTTATCCTAGTGCAGCATTTCTCGGAGCTAATTCATTGGTCAGGTGTAGCTGTAACTAATGGAACTTTGTTACTCTGTCTTTGTTGTCTGTTTTGTCTCAAAATATGTCACTGAGTCAAAACAAAAAAAATAAATACATACACTAAGAAAAAATAGCATTTTTTAGGCATTCAAATTAGCACTGAGATTTATAAGCATGTCTGATGGCTTTACAGGCTTGAGAATGGGGTGAGCTGAGCAACTGTGTAGCAGGTCTTCTGAGATGAGCCATCTGTCAAGGTTAAGGTTTCATGGAACTTCATTAAGAAGCTTTCCAAGAATGTTCCCTTGGGTCTCCTCTTTCTGAAGATATGGATGAGATTGTAAAGAATCCTCTTATAGATTCGTGGACTAGAGAGGGGGAAAGACTCAATGACAGAAACAAAAATGGGCCCCAGGGAGATGCCGTGTAAGTCACGCCAGACCAACCTTCTCCCAGCAGCATGAAATACATGACTCATGTGGGTGGGTGATTTCTGAGATTTTTAGAATAATAATTTCTAGATGACAGAGCTAGTCTTAGGGGAATCCAAAACACCATATAGGCATCATTAAATTGTAATTGTAATCTTTTATCTGAAGATATCAGATAATGTCTTTTCTGAAACTGTAAAAGCAAACTCAGAAGTATTTAGCACTTTGTGTAAAGTTGACTGTGAGTCAGTGCAGGTCAAAATAATTATTGCTATCATTTGTTTCAAACATACTATGTGCCAACTATCATAAAACATCATATATGTTTAATCTTTATAACAACCTTTGGTTATATTATTATACCCATTCTACAGATGAGGAAACTGAGATTCACACAGACACCATTTTTGCCCAGGGGTAATACATGGCAGAACTAGGAATTAACCAAGGTCTTTCTGACTCCAAAGACGATGTTCTTAATCACAGTGCTGTACCTTCTTCACACTGTCTCCTCGGTTTACACAGGTTATTTTACTACTCTGGTTTAATTGTGTTAATGTGTTAAAATATGTAAAATTTACATTTTTCAAAGAATAACATTATTATTCAATAAATAATCTTTGAAATCAATCTTTGAGAATAGTAGACAGGAAGAACTGCTATCTGCATTCTACAAAGTAAGGAAGTAATACACTTCAAGATTAGATAATTTGCATGTGACCGCAGGAATGGGAGTCAGTCAATATTAGAGATAGAATCTGTGTTCCCAGAACACCTGTATACTAAGTCAACTATAGTCAAATAGAATCCAGATGACTATGTCCCCCAAGAAGTATTGTTATCATTATTACTAATACCACTCTATTTGTGTAAAATATACAGCCTTTTTGTAATTGACAAAAAGTATATTTATCATGTATGGCATGTTGTTTAATATATATAATATGTTATAAAAATATAAATATATAAACATAAAATATTATGTATATATTAGAATAGCCAAATTGAGCTAATTATCATATACATTACCTTCAATAGATTTTTTAGTGGGGAGAACACTTAAAAAATGCTCTCATTTTTCAAGAATATTTTACATTCTACCTATAATCTCCATGTTGCACAGTAGACCTCTTGGACATATTCCTCCTGGCTAACTGAAATTCTGCATTTTAATATCATTTCTTGTACCCTGAAAGCCTGTCTGGACATGTGTAATGAAATTCAGAGAGCATATACAGTAGGAATAAGACATTCCCTGATTGTGTGTGTTACACACACACAACACACTTCCAACATAGGTTTCTTCATTTGGTACTTATCAACAGCTCTGTGAGGCAGATAACTTTAATATTACCATGACTTTCTTTACATGGCGGGAAATCAAACGTTACGAAGACCAAGTCTTTACCTTCTCTGATAGGAGATGGGCAGAGCTGAAGTCTGAGTCCTTGACTCTGCAGATCTGTACTTCCTAGTCTCTTTGCTGTCTCTATCATGTTGTGATCCCTGAAATCATAAGTGTTCCCTTGGTTAAACAGAGATGACTTTCCTTGGCCTTCAAACAATTAGCTTAACATCAGTGTCTCAACTTTTCTAATGAAAAGAATATGAAACATAAGGAGTGAATACATCTAAGATCTTTCAAACCAATCTTTCAAATTATACAGTTCATTTAAGTCATTATTGTGGACTTGGGCACATATTATTGGACTCAACAACAAAGCTAGGTTTGGGCTTCAAAGAGTTCTTAGTCCTTGCACTTAACTGTATACATTATGCTTAACAATATGCAGCTGCTCATAGATTGTTATGGTGCAAAGAGTCCAGTTTCTCCAAATTTGTTTTTCCAATTGAATTCCTCGCTAGAGCATAGAAGGCTGAATACAGACCCTTCTGGTACAGAGCAGAATTGATAAGGGTGGAGAGATACTGAGGCTCCTTTGCTGTCTTCTTGTCCTTTCAGACACATGTGAGGAGATAAGAGATTTTTGAATCCACATCAAAAACAGATTAATTAATTTTAAAATTACTCATCATTGTGATGGAGAAAACAATAACAATGGTGTCTATTGAGTATTTAATGTGCATCTGGAAGGTGCCAATAGCTCCGTGTTATTTTATTTAACTCTAG